TATCGTCTTATTTCAAGTAAATATTATCTAACTATCTTATTTTAAGAGTAAAAATACTCATTCCATTGGCAGATCATCTTATTTACCTGCTCAAATTAAGGGTAAATATACTTAATTTAAGAATTTTTTACTTATTTCTGGATTGTTTTTGCTGTACAGGGTTACTAAAGTAACTTATTTTAAATTAATATTGACTAATATGGTTTTAGCTATAGAGGCTTCTTCTCTCAACATCGCAGAAACTTTAATCATGTCTGGCCATTTCTACACCCAAGAATAAACAGTTAAATTAAAGCGGATTTAAAGATAAAATAAACGTGTTTTTGCTCGTCGGTACACTGCTGCTAAAATTAAAGGTGGGAATAATTCTTTGTTGCTTATATAAGCGCAGGCGTCTTAGAACCATGTATGCTGATCTGCAGCGTATGATGTTCTGACAGCAGAGCAGAGGAGCCTGCTGGACAGACAGCGCTTGAATTGAAGAAAGAATCAATACCAACTGTCCGTGACAAAGCTTTAAAGGTAAGAGCTAGGTACAACTTAACTATGTCGGAGTGCTTAGCCTGATAGCCTTCAAACATCCCAAAATAATGTTTAACTGCTCAAAGCTTGCTCTTCTATTGCTCATGAAACATATTTTAGTTTCTCAACTCAGTACAAAAACGTATTGGATTCACCAAAGAAAAAAAAAAGAAAAATCACACATCTTATCTCATACCGTAAAAGTTTAAAAAACAATCCACTGGACTTGGTTTCCAAGGTTTGAAGATGTTTCGCTTCCCCTCCAGGAAGCTTTTTCATTTCAAATGTCTCGATCCGCAGTGAGTTTGAGTCTTATATAGACAAGTCCTTGTATTACTTGGAAACATGCGAATAGAAACTGACGAGCTGGTAATTATATTTCCATTGTTAGCCTGTAATATCTGAAACCTGTCTTTGATTCTAGAGGTCGGTCGTTAAAGGGGGGATTGTCTGCTGTAATACCTGAAACCTGTCTATGATTGTTAAGGATTGGTCGTTATGGAATGACTATGACCTGGATGATTGAGAATCTTCATCAGCATCTTATCTCATAATACAAGATCAGTATCTCGTAATTATGAGATCTTTTCTGTTAATTACTTGATAAGATCTTATAATTACCAGATAATAACTCATAATAACGAGATAATATCTCACAATTACGAGATAGTATTTCGTAAACTAATTCCATCCACATTGAGGAAACTCAGTATTTCTAATTTTTTTTTTTTTTTTGGTGTATGACATATACGCTTCCGTATCCCAGTCTCATTTTAGACTACATTTTTTGTCACATGTCTCAGGGTTTTTTTCTCCTTAAAATCACCAAGAGAAATAAGGTAAGGCATTAACATTATAGTACAGGAGTCATAGATGAGATTTAAAGGAGATACCTTGAAAACTTGAATTTACCCAGTCACACCCCTTCACCCACTGACACGCTTGCCACACATAGTCACACACCAATATAAGATGCCACTTTGTAGCCACAGCTGCCGTGGAGCTCACAGACAAAAGCAATGCTCCCACACATGGGCACCATCGGGCCCTCTGACCATCATCGGCTCTCTTCATATAAAGTTTAAATTGCTTGCCAAATGACAAATCGAAAATGAAAGCCAGAGCTCGCGTCTCATAATTTTGAGCGAGTGTTATCCTGTGCTAGTATTAGCTCAGTTTAGCCCTTTCGCAAGTGTTGCCACAAACATTAAAGACTGTAAGTTGGCGTAACATTAAATGCCAAACAAAACAATGAAACCTGTAAATTCCACTAGAAAACTAAGATCAGCTGCATTAAATAACACCTAAGATACAAAAGTGACGCTGTCTCCTTTAAGCATATATTTTCAAAGTGATTTTTTCCCCCCCAAGATTCGCTTAGAATGGGGACACAATTTAATGGAAGACCAGATAATAATGAAACAGTTGACCCAAATCCTCTCATTAGTGGCTTCAGCTTAGGTTTTGTTCCACAAAGCAATAAAAGAAAAACTTTGAGGTTAACAGAGGGAAACAATCTGAGCGCTTATATAGTGCTATTAAGATAAAATGAGCGAAGATAAAGCGGATGATGTTTCTTTGAAGAGCAAGAGGTCAATGAAAAAAAGAAAACCTAATTTTTTCTGCTGCAAAAAGATGCATCATCTTCTCACCATACTGGCTGAAGGCTTCAACAGCAAATCGTTAACTGAGCTTGTTTTCAAAAATCTTGGGTTCTTAAAACCGGAGGGACCAGCTCGTGCACATCCTCATTACTTGGCCTGTCCTACTCTCTCAAACTCCCTCTGCTTTCACTTTTTTTACTCGGATCTCAGCAAATCTAAGCAGATGGGAAACTCATCAGTGAAAGCTGACAATCTGCTTTGATCTCAGAAAGGTATCCATTGCCGGTTCAGCCTGCGTTTTTGCTGCCTACAGAAAAGCAGCTCCTGCATTTTTTAGTATCTGGTACTTTTTGGAGTTTTACATAATTATCTGAAGCAGAGGTTGTAGGATAAGAGAACCTTGCCTCACAGATGAGTGCTTTTTTTTTTTCCCAGGAAAGCAGGCGGATCAGAGAAATGTTGACACATAAAGACACTTCTCTTTCACAAAATCAGCACAGAATATTTGAAAGTATTTCTGGTGTGACAGTCAACACGGAGGGAACCCCTTTTCACATTGTTCTTTCATGAGAAGCGAAAGTTGGTGTTTAAAAAAGAAATGAGAGGCTGTTCATATAAACAACCCCTGAAGATCTCATTAGCACTAAACAATCAAGGTTAAAATAAAGTAGGAAGTTTCATAAAAACTTTGGCATCATCAAGGTAAACAGCTGCTGCAGAAGATTAATGAGTCAATAACAGCTCTCTGGCAATTCATGCTTACAGCACTGCATTAAACATAAAAGGTACACATTGGTAATTAAAAAGCTTTACATGTTAAAACATTAATTTATTCAATCAACTATAAAAACCACATCAATTATTTCCAAGCGAGCGTTTTTTTACAGTCTAATTCCTGTTCTTACCTTGGCATTGTAGGCTATGTAGTGCTTGGCCAGAGCTTCTGGGGTGTGCATCCACGACTTATCTGCAAAAAGACAAACCAAACCACAATGAAAGCAGTCCAGTTAGTGCTGTCATTAAAGATTAGGTGCTTTTGGCCACATTACTGGTTTATATAGCCCCATTTACACTATCCTCTGAAAACAGTGCCGAGCTTGGATTAGTTAACCGTACCGAGTTTGGTTCCTTACGAACATTTACTAACCGCGCTAGCATGGTTCCTCGCCTCCTAGTGACGATCTACAGTACTACTGCCCCCTAGAGGGAAACAAGCAAATCAACATGGTGGCGGCCGCAACATTCAGGAAGTTTGCAGAAAGTCAGGGGAGGAAGGCAGCCTATGGTTAATTTACTTGATAGAGTCGACTTTTGGGAAGTGGATATGAAGAACGAGAGTCTAATCAGGGCTTACTGATGCAGGAAACAACGACGGACGTTGAGGTTCATCACAACGCTAAGCAGAATCATCACTGGAAATCGTGTGGCGCGGTAAGGAAGCTAGTAGTTTTATAAATGTCTGAAATTCCATGATTACGGAGGCTGACTGTAAGGAGATCACCTGGTCTTTGTTGTTGGAGAAATGAGCCAGAATTGAACTGCGCCAAGCCCTAGTGATGAACTATACTACCAGTTTAGCGCGGTTCTGTTATGTCTGGCATGGTCTGGTTCAGTTTTGCATGCCATTTACACTCAACGGTTACCGTGTTTGGACCGATCTCGGCACAGTTTCAAAAGGGTAGTGGAAATGGGGCTCATGTCTGCATGAACAGGTGTCATGGAGGTAGCACAAAACACAGTATGCCTTGAGAATGATCATAAACATACAACTTTTTCTTTACCCTGCTTATTTCACAGACTAAAACAGACTAAAACAAATCTCAGGTTAAACTGAAACAGGCTTTATTTGCATTAGAAACATAGTTATAAACCTTATTATATTCATTAGAGCAGTGTTTTTCAATCCTGGTCCTCAAGGCACCCTGATCTGCATGTTTTGGATGTTTCTAAGGTTCAGCAAACCTGATTCAGATGATTGCAGTTCAGCAAAGCCTGATAATCCGCTATCAATTGATAACAGGTGTGTGAAAGCTGGGAAACATCTAAAACATGCAGGGCAGGGTGCCTTGAGGACCAGGTTTGAAAAACACTGCATTAGAGAATAGAAAAATTAGAGGCCTGTCACCCTTACACCTGTGGTCTTGAAATTCTTGGAGTATCGGGTGTTAAAGCGTCTGAAATAGATCAAAGATCCACTAATGAAGTAATGGAGTAAACTTCATACTCTATTCTCCACCACCTCAACTATGACCATGTGTGCCAGGATCCGGCTTTTAAACTTAAACTATCTTGGACATAGGCATCCTCCTGCAGAAGCTAACGAAGCTTATAATGCTTCTCTTCCAGTCATCCAGAGAACACCAGCCACATTTCCTCCACTTGCCATCCTCATCAACACTGTGTCAAATCTGGACCATTTCTCAGCAACCACTCCTTTCAGTACCTTAGTTGGTCTTCTCACATCGACAAAAATGAAACCCAAGTAATGGATTTTGGGAAACTTCCACAGGAGCTGCTGGTTATCTCTCTAAGTGCCATTATTTGGACTGTCCTCAGCACATCCATCTCTGTGTGGTTTGGCTCAGTCATAAAAATGGACAGGTCCAAACTGCACCAACAGATCTGCTCAGGGGGCAGGACTTGTACAAATCAACGGTCAGGAAAACCAACAGGAGAACCAACAGCTCTGCAGTTTACTAACATCTTAAACTGAAAATGAATCCCTACATTTGGATTTTTAGGAAATAATTTCTTAGCTTTCATGCTTTAATGCTATTTTAACCTTTTTTTGTATGAAGTGTTATGGTTCTAGTATGCTTTTACTCCCTTTTTATGTAGCCACGTCCATCTCTTCTACAACCTTGATCACAATTACATGACCAAGTATGCAAATCAGGCAATTACATCATAAAGTGACTTTTAGGACAGCCAATGGCTATTTTCCTTACTGAGAAGTTGGTTAAATCAGACATCTAATTTGTTTCTATCAAGGTTGATGACCTATATAATCAGCACAATTTGGAGTCATCATTCATTATTAACCAAATTCCAAAACTTTCCTCACGGCTGCCCTAGAAGCTGGTTCTTAAAGATTGAAACTGAGCCATTGCGCAGAGGTCATCACAGGTCACTGATATCACAATCTAAACATCTCATTATTCCACCTTTTCTCTTCACTTTCACTTTTCATTTTCTGTGTGTAGACTGCTTATTACAGCAGTAATGAATCTTGGGACAATATATGCATGATTGTGACCCGAGGACATTAAACTTGTGTAAATTGATTGGGGTCGCCAAATTTGGCAAGGTGTTGACGGTGAGACTCGTCACCAGTGTGACCTCTGCATAAGAATGCCTTGTTTACATTACTGCTTGTAGCCAACTAGATAACCTCATTTGAATTTTAATTAGTTTCGTTTAAACATACCATTTGCTTGAATTGGATATAAGTAGCTAATGACAATAGAGACAATCATCATAGAGGTGATGTTTCACAATTTCCTCTCTTTTAGGAATTCGGCTTAACTCTTCTAGTCACTGCTGTCAGATACTACAGGGCTAAAAGTATAATTTTTTCCCCCCCCAACCCCAAAAAAAAAGAAAAAAAATCAACTTTATCTGCTCAGGTTAATCACAAGTTGATATCTCACCTCCAAATATCCAAACACATTTTTAAAAAATCTATATCTAAAATGCTTCAGGAGGTTGTAAAAAAAAATTGTTATAACATCACCAGAACTTTGACCTTTATTTTCACTTTTCAGTCTTTGCAGTAACAACTATTATAAATGTACTGCCCTTACGCCGACTTATCAGCCTTGCAAGAGGTGAGAAGTGATTGCATCTCACGGCAGTTTCCTAAAAAAGTTATCCTTTTCGTTGTGGGAATAAAAGCTGACAGAAGTGATGCATCTCCTCTTGACCTTAAAAACTTGAGAAGCCAAAAAAGCAGAAAAGATTTGAAAAAAACTAGCTACTTATATCCATGTATACTCTGACCAATACTGTGGGTTTATTCATTTTACAAGGTTTTAATAAAATAGATATTTTGTATTTTTATACTTAGCATAAGCACCCAATTGACTTATATTACTATGGTTCTTTACATTTTTTAAAGTTTGTTTTTATCTCTGCTGTTATGTAATAAAAAAACAAATATTTGATTTATTTTAACCATGTGACTGGAGGTATGTTATAGCATAATAAATCAATCAGTAAACCAGTGGTTTCCAAAGTGGAAGGTGCAATCCTTAGGAGAAAGTGGTGGAAATGAACTACATAAATAACCCATTCTGAGCGTTTTCTTTTTGTGTATTGAACATAACATTTAAAACATTTTCTTTTAGATGATTAGTTATACTGAAAATAATGTGATAGTTGATATGCCATATACAGAGGTTGGCCTTTATTTTCTTGCCTTTAAAGAGAATAGCCCTGGTGCAAAATGTGTTTCCACACTCAACAAGCACAAAGTAAACACTATTATTGTGAATGATTGGCATATATTGTTCTATTTGAAGTTGATTATACTTTTTTGTGTTTTTTACAGCCATATACATAACCTGGTCCCTTCAAAATGCTTTTAAGTTGGAGATGGATAACACCTGAACATTTCATTGTTTATCATCCAAACAATAGTTTATAACAAACACAATTTTGTTGAAAATCCCACCTAATCTATTGGCACTCTGATGTCTTGTGCCTGCAACATCGTGCCCATGGGTTTCTGCTCTAATTAACCTGAGTAGACAGATCGCTCCTTTCAAGTGAAACAAGAAAAACACTTTGTACCTTCAGATGAAAACAAAACCTCACATTACACAAACAACACAGCAAAGTTTCTCAAATTAATGATGAGGCTCCAGCAGTGCTGCTTTTCAACATTTTCATTAGTGAATTAATCAGAAATCAAAGCGCTTATGCGTGTCTTGCATGTATAATCGAGTTCCGCCATGCATGTCAGTGGGAACGATTGAGGTCCAGCACCTTTTGCTTTTCAACCTTCACTTTACCCTGCAGCTTTGTAACCATGGCAATGAGATTAAAAACATAGTTTATAAACATATAAAAGCTTTTTGCTTTTTGTAGGATGTTATAATATTTCCCACTGAAACTACATCACCAATTCTAATGAAACATTCTGGGGTTGGTCACAGCTCAATAAATTGAAGCTGTAAAAGTTATTTTCTCGGATTCTAACTACTAAGTCACACTTATTGGCATGCTGTGTCAATGTTCACAGATTCGTACAAAGGGTATTGGTGGGTAGTAATGGCTTCAGTGCCTTGCCTAAGGACAGTTTGATATCTGGTGAGGAAAACTTGGACTCAAACTCACCTATTAATGGCCGGCAGAGTCAAACTCACCAAAAATAAAAGTCATAAACTTGTAGTAAGTGAAGCTGTTGCTGGATCTACTGTTAGTCTAGTCAAAGGCCAGAAGCTCTGATAAAATTTTTGGTTGTTTCATGTTTAAAGGTTTTGTTGTAGAGTCTTGTAACATCTTAAGTTCCTTCAGCACAGCTGTTAGCCCCTACTGTACATGGCCTTAAATATCCAATTAGGCTTGAGCCCATTTAGTGATTCAAGTAGAGGTTTTCCACACCTGGTTGAACATAAAATACAAGGACTTTTCAGGATCATTGCCCCTAAATTAAAAGCTAGGGGCATTTTGTCTATTGCTACATCTGAATGTTATTGATAAACAATTTTAATAAAATGCAAATTAAATAAAAAACTAAATGGCATAAAAATTGCTGGATCAGATTTAACACAAAAGTGGATTAAACATACAGCTTCCATTCAAATTATATTCAAAGCATACATACACATTGTATACACATACATACACACACACACACATATNATATACACATGTGTGTATATATATATATATATATATATATATATATATATATATACACACACACACACACATATATATACACATATATACATACATGAGGTT